ACAATGTTATCCATAACTTGTCATGATCCACACAATCGAAAGCCTTTGCATAGTCAATAAAGCACAGGTAAACATCTATCTGATAGTCTCTGCTTTCAGCCTAGATCCAACGGACATCAGCAACGATATCCCTCGTTCCACGGTCTCTTCTGAATCCATCTCGAGCCTCTGGAAGTTCTCTGCCAATGTATGCTTGCAGCCATTTCTGTATTATGTTTAGTAAAACTTTTTTCACATAGGATATTAAAGAGATTGTCCAATGATTTCCGCCTTCCGTTAGGTCACCGCTCTTTGGAATGGGCACAAATAAGGATCTCTTCCAATCAGTCGGCCAGATAGTTGTCTTCCAGATTTCTTGGCAGAGATGAGTGTCTCCTGTGCCGCTTCACTTTCTTGAAAGATTTCAAGTTTTATTCTATCAATTCCTGGTGTCTTGTTCTTTGCATTAAGGCATAGAAACCATTAAGATAAAATAGAGCTGCCCTACAGCGTTTCCAAGGCTCCTGGTATGGCACTATAGCATAAGTATTGGACTACGAACCACAAGGTTGACATTTCAAACCCACCACCTGCTTCTCAAAAACCCTACACAGGGCCGCTATGAATCGAAACTACTTGAAGGTTGTTGTTTTGTTGTTGTTAAGTTCCGTTGAATTGGTTCCGACCCATAGCGACCCTGAACAGGGTTTCTGAGGCTGTAAATCTTTAGGGAGCAGAAAGCCTCATCTTTCTCCCATGGAGCAGCTGGTAGTTTCGAACTGCTGACCTTGCGGTTCGCAGCCCGATTTGTAACCACTACACTGCTTGAAGGTACTTAACAGCAAATAGGGTTTCTGAGGCTGCAAATCTTTACAGAAACAAATGCCCATATCTTCCTTCATGGAGTGACATGTGGGTTTGGACTACCCACATTTTGGTTAGTAGCCACGTGCTTAAGTACTGTACTACCCAAGTGCTTTCAGGAGCATGAAGACTATTGCTAAAAGCTACCATTTATTAGGTTCTCTTTACAGACAAATTGTGGGATAACTACTTTAAATAGTTATTTCCTTTAAGTTTTCTAGCTACCTTGTGAAGTTATTTCTTGTTTCCCCCCCAAAATGCATTCTATACCTGGCCACATGCTAGTGTACTTGCAAGTAGAAGTGGATCTTTCTGAGAAATCCTACTTCTCAGAGGTAGGCATCTTTATTATTCCCAATTTCACTTGGGGAAACCAAGGTTTAAAGAAGTTAAGTCGCTTGCCCAAATCCCATTTACTAAGTGGTGGAGCTTAGATTGAAACTCAGATAGTGTGATTCTAAAGCTTCAAAGTTTAGCCACGGTGCCATTTAGTGTAACAGATTACTGGACTCATTTTTTTTTTTCCATCTTCTGAAAAATCTTACCTATTTCAAAGATACCTTGTACTATTGGCGTGCACAATTACAAATGCCCACATCAGAATTCCATGGGACAAAAATTCCTGTTTGGTATTATTGATGAAACTTCCAAGCTTCATAGGCACGAGAGTCACAAAAGTACTTGTCACTGCCATTCATGGAATCCTTGACCCTGGCTGTTGGGTTGTTTTGTTGTTTTTGTTGTTAGGTGCTGTCCAGTCAGTTTTCACTCATAGGACTCTATATACAATGAAGGACTCTATGTACTCCATCCTCACAATTGTTACATTGGAGTCCATTGCTGTTATGAGTCAGCACCGTGTCCATATCACGTAACAACACAATGGTGTACTAGCAGCAATAAATTCTTTGGTGGGAAGATTCTGTTTTCAAACCCTCAGAGAGTTGAAAAGTAAAAAATTTAGGTACTATGGTTGGATATTTAGCATAAGGCAACAAATAGAGAATTAAATTTTAACTTGAATTCCACAGAATGGTTCATAATTAAAAGTAGTATTTGGAAGAAGTTCTCAGCAGGTTGTAGTCATAAAACTGGCACGTCTGACACCTGTATTAGAAAGTACAATTCCAGAGAGTGGTCAAGTGTCCTCCTAACTGATCCCTTTAAAGATGGCTCAATAAATTTTGCATATTTGTAAAAATGTTTTTGATAACACAAACTGTAGGTTGTAAGTTGTTTGCCAATAGTTATGCTACCTAGTGTAAATGAAAGAAAATGAGATGCATCCTCAAACTACTGTGACCAATCAGGAGCTTAGCTGTGTATTATAACGCGATCTCGAGGGCACATGACAGAAATTGGCAAGTCCAAAGGTAAATGTTATCCGAAATGAGCTAGAATGGGCTATTAGAAATGCCTGTACTAGCTTTCTAAACCAACAAATCACGAAAAAAAGAAACAAGTACATATTAATTCCAGGGAGCATCCTGCATTTATGTATAATGATTAGAAATTAAATTCTTTCAGAAAGCTGCAAACTTCGATGTGCTTGGCAGTAATGTTTTACCTTCGTTCCTTACTACCTGGTGGAACTCAGCTTTAATCAGGTTTTTAATTCTTTCTTCTGTGTTCTAATGATACTGTCAGCCAGAGAGCCAGCTTGTCAACTTCACCCTAGGATATAATGTATGCTGCTAGGACAGTGGTAATTCCTAGGCACAAAAGGGGGAGGCCATGGTAGTTCACTATTTCTGACTTTTTGTAATTCTGAATGCTCTTGCTTTTGTAATTTTTAAAGTTTGCCATTTATATTACTTGAAGACCTTTTTTTTTTTTGTTGGGTGGGGGTGTTAATATCTTACTTATCAGTGAAAACCAGGGTCCAGTTAGTTAAGGTTTCAGTTGAACGTGAAATGTGACTTCCTAAGCTTGTCATGCATCAAACTGTTATGGCTGGCAATTGTTTTAAAAAAATTCATTTTGTTATGAACTAGCCTGTTTTCAACTGGGCTGTTCAGAGATGGATTGCTTTCTGGAGTTTTTGACAGGTGTAATTGTTAAGGCGTCATCTGTTCTTGTTTGCACAAAATACATTTTAGCCAACTGTAGGACTTGCCCGCTAATCTTTCTCACATCATTCCATTCTTTGCTTGCCACTAGACAAATCCCCTGTTATTTGACCAGATGGTGGAAAATCCATTCTCATGATAAGTTGCTTCTAGTTTGCATTTAGATTACCTGCAAAAATGGAACAATTTACTACTCTGCCTCTAACCATCTCTTTCCTCCTTTTTCCCTTAGTTTGACTTCTTGTAACTAATTATTTAAATTCTGCCCTGTGAGTTAAAATTAGTCATAGCTTACACGTTTCACATGTATGTAAATGCACTTAAGTCCTACCTCAAGCTGTATGATGAGTCCATCTAAGAGAAGTGACTTGAAGGGAAGGGAATGAGAACTCTTTGATGGGCAAGCTGCAGTTCATAATAGTTTCACGAATGAAAGGCATATTTGAACTTTTTACTGAAAGTATTTAACCTTTAAAAACAAAATCAGGTGAAGAGAATGAACACAGTAGGTTTTTGTTGGTCACAAGGAAGGTGAAGCACAAAGTGTTAAGTAAAGGATGGTTAGTGGGGTTTGAATTGTGTAGCTGTTTTGTCGGTTAGTTTTTAAACCTGACAATTTCCTCTGTGGTACACTGGATGTAAATGTAAATTTCATTATAACCTTTGCTGTCATGGAAAGAAAAAAAAAATGATGACAGTCGCTATCCTCCAAATAAACAAACAAAACACATTTTTGAGTAAATCAGTTTGTTTTTACAGTCACTGAGAATAAGGTAAACTTGTTTGTTCTTTGACCACTTCAAATTGTTCATACTCAATGCTTTTCAGTATGTTATTGTTAATATAGAGAAAAATAGAATAAATCCATTTAAAGCATAAAATGACAATGGTTGAAGTATTTCAGTGTGACCTCAGGGTAAATCAATTCTTTTTAAAAATCTGTAACTTATATCATCTACTGTTACCAGGGACATCATGTGCACAAAATAGTCTCTCAGAGTTTGTTTTAGCATGCTTTAATATCTAAAATTAATTTGTCAGGTGGAACCTAGTATCGAATCTTTTAAAACTGCTCTCCATTTCAGGAGAGCTTGTTTTATATTCCTTACTTTCCTATATCAGCTTTACAATAAAATACCACACGTGTTAATGCAAGCCTTTAAAATTCCAGTGACAGTTAATAAATATGATAGTGTTTCTGATATAAGTTGCATACAACAGGGTTTTACCTTCACATTAGATGAGGAGTATTTAGTTATAAATAACATTGTGGCCCACTAAATATAATAAGTGATTTGGGCTCACAGTAAATGAAACATTTAAAATATGTTAAAAATCTCAGGAATACAGTGTAAATAAAATTGGAGAGTAGGATTTATTTTTCCTTACATAGGGTCACTAGATACATTGGGGTTTATGAAATATTAACAAACTTAATATTATATTTCACAGAAACTGGAAGCAAACTTTCTGGATTTTTAAAAACTAACATGAATCCAACCCCATGTGTTAATTCATTATTAAGAACATATTAAATGTATGTATCCGTATATGCTTGAGGATTAGCTATTATCTGACCTTTGCAGATAGAGTGGTGTATATATAGCAAAGGACTGGGCACCCTTATTGGGATTGTGTAATAATCCAATTACTTTATGTTCTTCTAAAATACAATGGACTCCTTAAATATTTTTTTCTCCCCTGAAGAGATTTTCAATGGAAGGAAATAGTCAGAAAGCTCCTCTCAGCATTTTTATGTCCATGTAATACAGGAAGTCTCAGATGAATTTATATGCTTAAGTAAGTCAGATGAAAATTGTATAAGCCTTTTCTCCCCTTTTACCTTAGCTGCCAAGGAATCTGGAGCCACTGTATTCAGCTCATCTCAGGTGCCTGTTAACATCTAACCCCTGCTCCCGATGGTCGTCTCACTTGTGTGTTCATCCCTAATTGGGTTTAGTACTGTAAGCTGTATCATATCCCTTTAGAAAGTCTTAGCATAAAAACGCTATATAAATTGAATAAAGCTGAAAAATATATTAACTTGACTAAGATTTTATAGCTAATTTACAGTTGCCTACAGTCGTAATGCATGATCGAATTAATGACAATCCTGTAATAAATACACTAATGCCATTTGTTTTTAACATGTCCTTTAGAATATAATTGTGGGTATTGTAGAGTGAGATAAGTTTTAGATCTTGTGTCTATCTTCCACTTTTATGACTCTGATATTTCAAATATATATACATTTTTTTTAAACAGAGCTAGATATTAACTGATCTGAAAAATTTTTTTTTGCTTTTTTCTGGGCACAGGTTTCTAAAAGTGGAAGTTACTGTTCTAAAATGTATGTACACATTGCACTTGTGTGTAGCACTCAAACGTGTAAAGAGCAGAATATATTAAATTTCAACATACTTGTTGTCCTGCATTCCGGTTGTCTGTAGAGAATCTCTAGTCATTTCTATCTGTTTTTGATGCCTCTACAGAATAACTGCACAGCATCCTCTGCCCAACCAATCAGAATGTAGGAAAATCTACAGATATGACGGAATCTACTGTGAATCTACCTACCAGAAGTATGTTGAAATCTTTGTGAGTCTTCCTTCTGGCTCGTGCATCAGTGCTTGTGGTTGCCAGCTATTCAGAAATATCCTTGTCTTGAATCCTTATTTTTCTCTTATTTAGTGGGGAACAAAACAAAACAAAACGAAATGAAAATAAGCACAAAAAAGAAATGCCTCTGAAATCAAGAGAGAGAGAGAAAAGTGTTTATTCTTTTGAAATTGTGGTCTAAAAGTTTTTTTTTTTTCCAATGACTTTATTAAAGCTCTTCAATAAGGTTCTTTATATTGCAATAAACAAGTACTTATATGCAAGAAAATCTCCGCAAAATACATTGCACAGGTGCTATGCATCTTAGGGATTTGAAAGGTGTGTTATGTATAAATTAGCTGTCAACTTTTTTTCAATCCTGTAATGGAATGATGAGTTGTAATTTGCATAATCCTTTAAGAAGTCAAATTATACTGTCATGTAGCAGACTTAACATGCTAGCTAAGATTTCAGAGCTTTGCAGCTAATTACTATGTACCTTACAGGACAGTTAAATTGAACTTGAGTCCTCTGCCTTTACTGCCATTTGCTTTGCCCATTACTTAACAGAATCTGCACTGTTGATAACAAGGTGTTGTTACTATCACTGAAGTAAAAGGCTCTCCTGTGGGGAGGAAAAGGCATTTTAACATATCATGGTTTGACTTGTATTGCTTTTGCTAAGAAGAATTTTTTTAAACGGTAGTCCAAATTGGAATCCTAAAAAAAAAAAAAAAAGAAATTTATACTTTCTAGACAAGCTATAAAATATTGACTGAAGGAACATTAACAGTTCTACTATAGAAAATGAAATGAATGTGAAAATATTTCCACAAAAGTCATTAGTCTTTCTTCATATACTTTGCAAATATACTTTGATATGTTTTTAACCTTCAGACTCTTAATTTCTTTTGTAGTATGGTGTCATATTGTGGGGGTGGGGAGTGCCTTTTTTCAAACTTTAAGTCCTTTCTGAATATAAACTGGTGAGTTCTAATTTCAGTCTGCTGTTTGTAGAACATTTCCTTTCGTGGGTTTGTATTTCCAAATAACTGGGAAATCCTGAGCCTGTGAAGGCTGTTCTTTGAAATGGATACAAATTGGATCTAGGACAGAGCTGGACTAGTCTCCACCTGGACTGGTTTAGCTGATAACTGTATCACTGAAACTTTGCTATCTATTGATCTCTGGTTTTATTGCTAGATGCTTGTTTGCCAATGTAGTGCTGTTTTCCTCATCAGAATTGGTGTAGTTATAATCAAAATTATTTCTACTGTTAAACATTGATTTATTATTTCATTTATACTTTTATTACATTTATTGTGGGTCTTGTAATTTGTTAGTGATATTGTCATGATGGCTAGTTTGAAGAAAGCAGTCTTTTTTGAAATGCAAGAAGTGGATCTTTTCAGGATCCTCTTAAAACAGCACTTGTCTTGTTGACCATTCAAGTACCATGATAAACAGTCAGCATACTCATAGGACACTTGTTTGTTTCTGGTTAAGGCAGATTCATGAGTCTGAAATCACTGCCTGCTTCAAGGTTGAGGTTTGTCACTTTAGAATCAGGAGCCTAGAGTAGGCCACCAGGAATTTGACCCATAGAAAAGCTTCTCTTCTACCCGTAGGAATCCTCTCAAGAGCTTGCTTCTTTTTGTCCTTAAAGAATCGGTGTTATTTGTAGTCAAGGTAGATGCTGTAGGCAGCACAGCTGTGGCTGCCAGGGAAAGTCACTAGGGGGATATTCATAACAAGGAAATATTGGCAAATAAATGATGAAGAAGGGGAGGAAATCCCCAAGATGTTAAATTGGAGCCCTGTCACTGAGATGATTAATGGTGTTGTGTATTTTTGCGAAGATGCTTATCCGAATTGTCTTGAAACTATAGTATGCATTTAATAGCACCTATAAAAAAAACTCGTGGTGCAAGAGCACACTGAGAAGGCTGTGGATTCAGATTTCATTTTCTTGAGTGTTTTTTTTTTTTTTTTTTTTTTTAAGAAAAGCTTGTGAAACCCTGGTGGCATAGTGGGTTAAGTTTTAGGCTATTGACCTTCTGGTCAGCAGTTTGGATCCACCAGCTACTTCCTGAGAGACAGATGAGGCTTTCTGGGTCCCTAAAGATTTACAGCCTTGGAAACCCAATACAGGGTTCCTGTGAGTCGAAACTGACTCGAGGGCATACAACAGTAACAGCAGAGATAAAAAACAAACAAACTTGTGGTACATTAGTACACTGACCAGAGAAGGCCGTGGATTTAGATTTTATTTGCCTGAGTGAGAATTTTCTCTAGCTGAATCTTTGATGTGTCTGCTGGAAAACTAGTGTTGGATGTATATTACATATAGAAGTTAATGTATGTACTATTCATTGGCTGGCATTTTTATAGTCACTTTCTACATAGGGTGTAACTAAAGCTAACTAGCATTGAAAAAAAATTTTCCCCCAGAACCACAGGACCACAGGATAAAGAGCAAAACTTCTGTAAACTATGATAGCAATACCAATTTTTTAAGTCTTAATTTTTTATGTTGCAGTGGTTATCTTACAATATCTTCTAGTTTTCAGTATCAAACCATGGCTGAGCTGATTCTATGGTATGAATTATCACTTACCTTGAGGGATTTTTCTGTCGCTAATGGTAGGTGTATTTTGGGGCAGGTTACTTAACCCCCTTGGGTCTCAATAATTATTACTAGACAAATGACACATAATCTAGTTTTCAGTGAATTTATACTCTATTGTAGCAGCATTTTTCAAACTGTGTGTCTCTACCCAAATAATGAGGTATGAATGTTTATCCATTCCCACCAAGTCGATTCTGACTCACAGTGATCCTCTATGGGGTTCCTAGGACCCTGGCATCTTTACAGAACAGAAAGTCTCATCTTCTTCCTGAGGAGAGGCTCGGAGGCTGGAATTGCCAAACTTGCAGTTAGCAGTCCAGTGCCTATCCTACAGTGCCACCAAAATTTTAGTGAAATGAAAGGGAACAAAATTTAATGAATTGTAGTTAGCAAAAGGATGTTTTAGTTTTATATTTGTGTGTGTATAAATACTGTTTGTATGCAAGGGGGCTTCAAAAAAATTCTTGGAAAAAATGCAATGAAAAGATATTGGGGCATTTCTCCTGACTATCGGAAGCCCTCTAGTATATGTGCACCAATTGGATCACGAGGTAAAATGTGCTTCTTATTGTGGTTCACATCCCCAAAAGACAGAGAACCACTAGTACAGTGAGGAGTAAGTAGAGAAACATAATGATGTATGTGGTATGTTATACAAAAGGTGCCGTGAGTTATAATAAAAAGGAATAGACGGTTATCTGGGCAGAGTTCAGGAATCTGGTCTTTCAAATGCAGTACATGGTGGAACCAACTTGTATGGACTCCCGAGTCCCTATTGTATGCCTTTGTTTTCCATTTGGTGATCCATGATCTCATGATTGTTGTTGTTGTTTTTAAGTGCCATCGAGTCGGTTTCGGCTCATAGTGACTCTGTATATGGTTTCTGAGGAGTAGCTGTTGAGCATGAACTGCTGACCTTTGCATTGAAACTGATCTGGTAGTCCATGCTTGACCCACAGTGCCATATCAGGACTCCGATCTCATGGTATCACCTTGTAATCAGAAAAGTATGGGCACCATGGAAACTAGAAAATGGCGTACTCTAGGTGCCACCACTCTCTACCTCCAGTACATCACAGCTCATATTCCTTCTAACTCTAATTCTATGACTCAGTGATTTTTGAGCACTATTATACTTTAGGACATATTATTTTATATGCTACATTCTATTTCATTAGAATTATTAAAATTTGTTGTTGACCAATAGTGATCCCATGTACACCAGTAAAAAACAATGCCTAATCCTGCCTGATCCCCATGATAAGATCATTGTGATCTGTCAGCTGGTTTTTGACAGTTGATTGCCAGTCCTTTCTTCCTATTCTTACTCTGGAATCTCTGCCGAAACCTATTTAGCATCGTAGCAATATGCAAGCCTCCTCTGACAGACAGGTGATGACTGCACAAAGCTACAGTAGGTGGGTATCAAACCCAGGTTTCCCTCATGGAAGGCGACAAAGTCTACCACTGAATCACCAGTGCCCCATTATTAATTTATGTGCCCCATTATTAATCCAACGATACTGAAACTTTAAAACAAACATGAATATAAAATCCGTAGTTATTTCCGAATGTCTGTAATGTGTGATTTTAAATTAATGTTAATGGTTATCCTAACTTCTTACATTAAAAGTTTATGATAAAGACCAATTTAGGATTTCAAATTGTGCAAGTGATATTTTGGCAAAGAGTAAAAATAAGGTGTTTTGAGAAACACTATACTGGAAATATCTCATTAGTTTTATTGTTTCCTGTAAAGCAATATTTTTACTAATAATGACACTTTAAAATCCCAGATTCTTCTTCCTCTTTTCAGCAGTCTTTTACAATTAGTGAGCTCATTGTAATGTAATGAATTCGGTTGGGATATGGAAAAGTTCTTTACAAATTAGAACAACTGCCAGTTTATTTCTTATTTTCACATATAAAAGCAAAAGCAGTATTGAAAGTCTGAAAAAAGAGAAATCATGCTCCCTTTTGATATTAATATAATAACTTTGAGCTTAATTTTAAATAAAGGAAGGTAAATTGTTGAGCCAGAGAAAAGGAGTCTTTCATGGATATGAGATGGATTTATAATAAATACATGGGAATCACCTGTGTTAAGAATATTCCATATGAGGAAAGATTCCATATGAGGAGTTAACTGAGAAAGACCTACCCTGCCTCAAACTTTAAACTACAATTCAGCCATGTGGGTGGGTCTGACTGTAAAACGATATGAGGAAGAGTGGGGTATACCCAAATCTGTATTCATTCCAAACTACTCACCCATTGCCATAGAGTTGATCCAACTAACAGCTGACTTGTATAGGACAATGTAGATCTGTTCCTTTAGATTTCTGAGACTAAATC